TGTATGGCTACAGGCTGGGAGTACTGGCCCACCTTCAATAGTTAGGCCACAGGTAGCACTGACACAGCTAGGACTGATTGGGTCTCACAGGACTGCAGAAGTGCCCTAGCCTGGTCAGTCTTGTACTAACATGACCTCGCATGAGGGCAGAGCTTCCTGTACCGCTGTAGCACCTGTGGCCTCAGTTCCTCCACTAGACTGCCAGCTCCAGTGCCAGTGCCCAGCTTGTCCTTGAGTTAATGTTGTTTGAACTCAAATGACAAGAAACTGACATTAGAGATTGGAACACATACAGCAGCTAATCTGGCTTATTTTCTCCCTAAGTTAACTGCATGTGACAAAGTCATGGAAATACCTGGAATTCTTGACAAATTTTGGTTGTGTTGAACATTTGAAAAACTCCAAAAGAAAATGTAAAACTAAATCCAAAGCCTTTTTTTTTTTTTTTTTTGTCTTAAATTCTAATTACATTTTGGCAAGTTTGTAAATGCTAGTATTACTTCACCAGATGCAGTCTTAATTGGTGAGTGAGAGTCTTAGGGTCTTGGGTGTAGGTCAGGACGGCTGAACTATAGGGGCATGTGTCTTTCTTGGTGCTAAGATTGACCTATTATTTTTCTTAGGTACTTTGGAAATCATATATTGATTTTGAGATTGAACAGGAAGAAACTGAAAGAACACGGAACCTTTACCGGCAGTTGCTTCAGCGAACACAGCATGTCAAGGTACCCTTACTTTGGCGGTGATCTTTCATTTTCTCATGGACAGTAGTTTTGGTGTTTTTACACAAGTTATTTTAAATGACTTTCTTGAACTTAGGATCTGTTGTTCTCAGGGGACTTAAGAATGTTAAGCCCATTGTTTATGCTGCACATGAAAGCCCCATGTGTCAAGATTTTAAAACTGGGGCTTGAGAGATGGCTCAGTGGTTAAGAACATTGCCTGCTCTTCCAAAGGTGCTGAGTTCAATTTCCGGCAACCACATGGTGGCTCACAACCATCTGTAATGAGATCTGGTGCCCTCTTCTGGCCTGCAAGCATACACACAGAAAGAATATTGTATACATAATAAATAACCTAAAAGCAGGAGAGTGCTTTGGTACTCACAGTGCAGTGCAGTGTTCTCATCTGGAATGCTTGCAGTAATGTGGCATCGGGTGTCCTGAACTGGAGAATTGGCTTTAAAGCTATTATGTTACTGTCTTTTGGCTGACATGGTTAATTTGGTTGTTAACCTTTTAAAGGTATGGATCAGTTTTGCTCAGTTTGAGTTATCCTCGGGGAAAGAAGAAAGTGTGGCTAAATGCAGACAGATTTATGAAGAGGCAAATAAAACCATGAGAAACTGTGAAGAAAAAGAAGAGAGACTTATGTTGCTGGAATCCTGGCGAGGTTTTGAAGATGAATTTGGAACAGTATCTGACAAGGAAAGAGTAGACAAACTCATGCCTGAGAAGGTCAAGAAGAGAAGAAAAGTCCAGGCCGACGATGGGGTAAGGAGTAGAAATGAACATTTTTAAAAGCAGAAGTAGACTGCATGGATAAGGACTGCTTGTAGTCCAGCTACTAGGAACACAGCCAGGGGTGAAGATGGGGCAGGAGGTGGGGTGGCAGAGATACCTTAGTGAAGGTGGAGTCTAGGAGTTACATGAAGTGTGATATTTGTAGAGTGGGAAGTTGGCATGCATGGGGGCAGGGGACAATCCTAAAAAGGCCTTGTAGGGTAGAGGAAGTTTGGTGGAAACCATTGAAGACTTTACACATGATTATAGATTGCTGGCATCTCATACAGGTGAACTTGAGGAACTTAGGTTGAAGAATATGATCTATTGCATGATTTTCAGAGATCCAGTAACTGGGAGGTGGAAGGTGGGAGATGAGAGAAGAGCCTGCATTTCAGAACAATATTTAGAAGTGAAATCGTGATCAATTGGAAGTGAAAAGAGTTAGAAGTCCAAATAATACACAGCTATGCAGCCTTTACTACCAAATATTGAGAAAATTCAAATTTTAAGATTATTTTGAGTGGTTTGTTTGCACGTGTATATGTGCACCGTGTGCATGCCTAGCACCTTTAGAGGTCAGAAGGCAGTACTAGATCCCCTGGAACTGGAGTTACAGATGGTTGTTAGCCATCTTGTGGGTGCTGGGAACCTAATCTATGTCCTCTGTAAGAGCCAGCAACAAGTACTCTTAAGAGCTGAGCCATCTCTCCAACCTGTGAAATTCAGAATTTTAAGTCTTAAACATGACTGCAGGGTGGGGCTGAGTTGCTGCATGTCTCGATTGCCTGTGGAGAAGCTGTGCTTAGAGGTTTAGTGTTCTTCCACTTGGTCCTTCGTTTTCAGTGAGCTGCAGCATCGTCTGAGCAGCTGTTCTAGTCAGTCAGCTCCTCTACAGCAGGGTTGATGTGGCTTTGTACTTACTTGTACAGTAAGCATAGTTGAATTTGAACTTTAGGTTGCTCCGAGTTCTTCACTCTCCCTTCTGAATGAAACATGCTCCAGCTATGTCTACTCACCTTAAAAGCTAAAATCAATGTATTTAATTTTGCAGTCTGATGCCGGGTGGGAAGAATATTATGACTACATCTTTCCAGAGGATGCTGCCAACCAGCCTAACCTCAAGCTTCTAGCAATGGCCAAGCTTTGGAAGAAACAGCAACAAGAAAAAGAGGCTGCCGAACAGGATCCAGATAAGGACATTGATGAGAGTGAATCCTCTTCTTTTTAAATGTTGTCATTTTATATAAATTAATGTTTTTATATATTTACTCAGTAAGGACTTGTTTGGCATTTTTGATAGCTACCTTTTCAATTATTTTTAAAAACACTTGGGTTAAATGTGGATGGGACATTAACCGCAAGTAAAGGAGTTTTTTATAGTAACTTTGCTGCCTGAGTCCTGACTGTCCTAGTATTCACCCACATTGTCTATTACAGGAAAGTAATGTGCTTAGCACCTACTCTAGGTGGAACTGCTGCAGCTTTGTTTTTTTGGACAAATAAACAACAAAAAAAAATAGCCCTGGCTATTCTGGAACTCACTGTTAGACTAGGCTGGCCTCCACCTGCCTCCAAGGTGCTGGGATTACAGGCACAGGCAAAGTGTTCACGACCCATTGTGCAGGAAAACTTTTTTTTTTAATATTTATTTATTTATTTATTATGTATACAATATTCTGTCTGTGTGTATGCCTGAAGGCCAGAAGAGGGCACCAGACCCCATTACAGATGGTTGTGAGCCACCATGTGGTTGCTGGGAATTGAACTCAGGACCTTTGGAGGAGCAGCCAGTGCTCTTAACCTCTGAGCCATCTCTCCAACCCCCTGTGCAGGAAAACTTTTAAGCCACAGGTCTGCTGTGAAGGTCTGCATGCTTCTAAACCTGTCACTGTCTTGTCTCTTCAACCACAACCTGAGTCCAGCCCGAGCACTACTGTGTGGTGGCTGTGTAGCTTAGTCTTTGTTTTCTGTTTCCTCAAACTTGGGGGAGGATCATGGCACCTCATTTTGAGATTCCACCCCTTTTCTTTTTTAGCAGTATGTGTCCACTCTTTAGAGAATTAAATGGACTTGGGCTGGTTTAACCTCTAAATATGCTGAAGTAAATTTGTAACAACTGTATTTTTAGACTAGGTTGTTATTTCCAGGAACATTTTAGCTTGGCTTTGGTTTGCTCCCAGCAGTTTCTAAAACTGGTTGTTTTGTTACCTTGTTTAGAAAACAGTGGCCTGCATATGCAGATGCTCTCTTAGGCACAGTGTCCTGTGTTCCTGTTAAAATCTTAACTGAATCTCTTTAGAGTGCTTGGAGCCTTCCATATGCTGCTTAGGGCATGACTCACCACAGCACTGCTGCCAGTCTCCCAGGCTCTGTGAATTCTGCAGTTATGTCTGCCTAGAGAATATGCATCTCCCAGCATGCCGCAGAACACAAACTCATAACAACTGATGCTTAGCTAAAGCTGTGGGAAAACAGCAGGTGTCCAAAGGACCCACAGTGACTGCCTGTGTGCTCAGTGATGATGCTGAAAGTAGCACAGTAACATACTTGGTGCTGCTCACACTGTAAAACAGCATTTGCCTGGTCTTGGAGGCAGTGTTTTAATCTGTACTTCACAGCCATATTTTCTTATCGTGTTCAACACACCGTTCTTACCTATAAGAAATATTAGTAAACGATTATTAGATGTCAGTATATTCATTTAAGGGAATAAGAGCTGCCTAGTATTATTACTAAATTGGGTCTTGAAAATAAGATAATTTTAGAAGTTAGAAGAAAACAGTACTACCGAGTAAACGATAGATCTTTTCAGGCACCAGACAGCACCACATGCTTGGGTGTCAGCTTAAGTCTGCTAGTCAGGAAGAAAATCTGTCATTGAACCTTGAGTTGGTGCAGAATCTAGATGACGGTGAGAGCAGGTCAGAATGCTAGCTAGTTCCGTGTCTGGGTCTTCTAGAGGTCATGCTGCTTACCCAGTTAGTGAGCTTGTCTAAAAGCTGACTTCCACAGGAGCGTGCCAGTATGAAGGGCCTGTTTTTAAATCAGGTGCTACCACTTGAGAGCAAGATGGAAGATTATTGGAAGCAAGTTCAAGGCCAGCCTGGGGACAGAGCGAGACCTTATCTCAAAGAAAAAAAATGAATGCCAACACACATTTTCATGGCCATTTCATGTGGGCTTTTTTTGGTTACTTCTTTACTGCCTGAATATTTCAGTACATGCCTGTGGTCTAATTACATGGCCTTCACGAGTTAGATTCTGTTTCCCCGTGTTAGTCTCTCATTCAAAGATAGGTTTAAGCAGTGCCAGCAGGAAAGGTGCTGTTTGGGAGGATTTTCACACAGTAAGAAGGAAACTTAAGTATGCCAGACAGGGATGATTTCAGATGTGCATTTAAAAATGTTTTATATAAAAGTCAAAACAGAGAGGCACCATATCCTAAACAACAACCCTCCATAATCCTGATTAAAAGACAACAAACTTCAGAAAACATTCATAGTCAACAATGTGTTTTACTATACATCTCAGATTTATACATTTCATATATGCTTTTAAAGCTTCAATTAAGAGTTCAATACAAAATAAAATATATATATATATTTATATATGTGCAGCAGTGGTTCTCAGGCACAGGATTTAGGAGGAGGATGAAGGGAGTCTTTCCTTGGCATGTACTGCATACGGTCAACCATGATAGTGGAAGTGTCCTTCTGACTTAGCTGCCTTGATTGAATTTTACTATGGCAAACAGTTTGAACATGTATGCTCATTGGATCGATGAGATTTGAAGTTTATAGCCTGTATTTTCATGAAGTCTTTAAGACCTAAATGATTACTTTCCTCCTAATAGAGCTCCAAGATCATCCTATGAAAATAATATGTCCACAAACTTGTCTGGAACACTTGCCTAAGAACCACTGCCTATGGTTATTCAATGTCCTCAGGTCTCACAGGATGAGGTAATGGTATGATGGATTTCTTCTCGGTGTCTCTAGAAAGTGCTTTCCTCATATCATAGGCGTCCTCATCAGGCTCCCCGTTGCTGGCTGAGTAGTACTCTATGACTGTCCTGTAGACACTATAACCCAACTGCTTGTACATGTTGACTGCAACTTGATTGGACACTCTTACAAAGAGATCAACAAAAAATCCACCTTTTCTTTAAAAAAAGAAAAAAGAAATGTTAGAACTATTAAGAACACTGGACAGTAACGGGCATAGATCTTTAAAAATATTCGTGAAAGGCATTGGGGCTCATAGCTGGGAGAGGTGGGAGAACTGTGGGCTCAAAGCTAGCCTGGGCTACAAAATGGCATAAAACTAATACTTGGCCTTTGACTGATGGTAATAATAACCTGGCTCCTGTTGTATTCTTTGGATTCACTGAATCACTGAAGCCATTTACCAGCAGTTTTTCTGCAATGTGTGCACTCTGACCTTCCTTCCCTCCTTCCATTATCAAGGAAGGACACGGTAGCCTACAAAACACATTCTCTCTCTGTCTTTCTGTCTCTGTCCCTTCTTATTACTGTGGATGGTCCAGGCTGGCCTTGGAGTCACAACAGTCCTACATGACAGGATTACAGGTGTGAGAGCCACCGTACCTGCCTGGCAATCTGCCACAGCTTTTGTTGGAGAAAAAGTCTGGCTACTACTAAGATAGAGCTGACTTGCTAACTATTTCCTTTTGTGCCACCCTCATGCTAAGAATAGCTTTTAAACTGGCTGCTTTGATAGAAGACCTATGCAACAGATCCTATGTGACTGCAGAGTATTTCCCCTCTGCCCTGGGAAAGATGTATGTTCTGTACACTACCTGATTGCCACCTGAGTTTTTTACAAAGAACCACGTTCAGCTCATTAACAATTCATCCATTTTTCTTGTAGTTTCCAGAGTATGGCATTGTTATATCTTGATGGATTTTCTTAAAAAAATGTTTGTACATGTGAGCGTGCTGTGGGGTGCACATGTGGAGGTCAGAGGAGTGTAGATCTGTCTTCCCTCCTTGCTTGCTCTCCACTGTATATATCCAGCTAGCTGGCTTGTGGGCTTCTACAGATTCTTGTCTCCGTCTCCCATCTTGCCTTAAGAGCAACTGAGCCAAGTGGTAAGTTACCATGTTCAGCTTTTTACATAGGTTCTGAACTCCAGCCCTCATGGCATACATCATGCCAGATTCCCAGCTAAGATCTGTATGTAGTGACCCCTAAGTGTGCTAGTCAAATCTAATGTAAATTTTGGCTATAATGTAAATCAACTTCCTTTTGGCTATAATTTGTAAGAGAATTTATTTCCTATAAGCAGAATATGCATTACTTTTCTTTTTGGTACTGCTGGAGATGAGACCACTGAGCTACATCCTTAGTCCATGTATATCTTTTTATTGCAGTCATTCATAACTACTTCATTTTCTATTTTAAATTGACTTTTATTTTTTACTCCTATATGAATATTGTATTCTACTTGGTTACTTAGTTTTCTCTTTTAAATTGATTTTTATTTTTACTACTATTCTACTTGATTTAATAATGTACATCCAAAAAAAAAGACGTGATTAATGCTTACGTGTATATATTCACACAAAATGATGAAGCATCAGAAATTGGAAAGGAAGACAGATTAGTAATTTTCTACCTAAATTATATTTATACTGTACCTAAGCAGAAAGAATATAAGACCTATTAATCAGACCCACAAATACATGTGCCTAAGGCTATAGCTTGTTAGAATCCATTTCCTCTTTGAATGTCATTAGTAAATGTGTGTTCAGTCTACCTAAAACTTTCCTTCCTCCTAATATTCAGTCCAGGAAAAACTTTAACAACATCAAAAAACTTCTTTTTCTCAGGCATGTTGGTACACACCTTTAATCCCAGCAAATTCGAGGCAGGCAGATCTCTGTGAGTCAGAGAAGAGCCTGGTCTAACAAAGCAAGTTCCAGCAAAGTTGGGGTAACAATATTTCTTTTCTTTGAATGAGCTGATTTCCAACTTGGCTCAGAGCAGTCATGACTAGTTAGTTCTTTAGAAGCTGTCTTTATATAAGATGGGTGGTGGGAGCTGGAGAGATGGCTCAGAGGTTAAGAGCACTGGCTGCTCTTCCAGAGGTCCTAAGTTCAATTCCCAGCAACCACAGGGTGGCTCACAACCATCTGTACTGAGATCTGGTGCCCTCCTCTGGCTTGCAGGCATATGTGGAGGCAGAATGTTGTATACATAATAAATAAATCTTTAAACTGGGCGGTGGTGGTGCACGCCTTTAATCCCAGCACTAGGCAGAGGCAGGTGGATCTCTGAGTTCCAGACCAGCCTGGTCTACAAGAGCTGGTTCCAGGATGGGCACCAAAGCTTCAGAGAAACCCTATCTCCAAAAAAAAAAAAAAAGGCACTGCCTTTATTAAATCTGATAGTTCTGTGGAAACAAAGTCTCTAGATCTATAGCCATCCCTTCATACAGGAAAAAAAAAACAGCAATTTGACAAATACCAGACACAGTATCCTGTCCCTCCTAGGAATTGGGGAAGCTTTTTAAGTTACTATGTTGCTTTTCTCTCTCTGTGTGACTGAAATGGAGTAATGCCTGTCTTTAAAAGTCATATTGGCAGTTACCAAACTGTACTGGTGCCTCAAACTCAGAAGATATGTGATTTTAAGACAGGGTCTCACAATGAAGTCATGGTTGAACTGGCATTCACTACTAGTCCAGGCTGGCCTCAAAGCTAACATCTGTCTGCTTAATTTAAAGGCGTGTACCACCATGCCCTGGCACAGGCTAATTTTAGATGCTCAGGGAAAAACTTCAAAACTCAACACATCCTTACTATCCTTACTGCTACATGTCCTTTGGATGACAGACTTTTTACAAAATGGCCTCTGACACTTGCTGTGATTAAACTAATGCATGAAAACCAGTAGGACTGGGTGATGTTGCATGTGTTTCAGGGTTTAAGAAGTCATCAGTGCTCAACAGTGTACTTCTCCCTCAGTAGTAGATGGCCATAGTTAAAAATAAATGACTTAGCATTTTACTTATTTTCTATAGATGGCTACTAGCTGTTAAAAGAGAAACAAAGTTAAAACTGAACTACTTTAGACCTAAATACATCTGTCATAGTGCCAAGAGCACCAATAACCTTCCTTGAAAGGTTAGTCGTTTTTTATTCCTACCAGTCAGCTAGCTCAGGTCTATGGCCGGTCACACCGCATTAGTTTCCCCCAATAACAAAGGAGCAGCAATAACTACATTATGAATTTGACAGAATTGTAGAAACTATTGCAGGCTGAAAATGAAATTCCTCAGAGTCTAAAGCCATGACAATTCCACACATTCACAAGACGAAAACACCCTTCCAATATTCAACAGCAAAAGAAACAGGGTTGACAAATCAGTGTATTTGAAAAATAGCTCTCACCTTTCTGAAATCTCCTCTAGTAACTCCATAAGTTTAGCAGCCAAGCCAAGACGGCGGAATTCGGGGGCGACAGACAGAGCTGTGACTTGTCCATGCCACTCTTCCCTAGCTACCGAGCCTTCTGCTTTGCCCATAACTGCCAACAGAAAATTGCACCAGTCATTAATGTGCGCATAAATGTAGAGTTACTGTTTGCCATTCACCTTTCATGATAAAAATGCACTAAGGTTTTAATTTTTAAGTAGTGTTGTCAAACTAGTAATATTTTAATTTGAAACTCCACTTGCAAGTAATATTCTATACCTACTTCTAAAGTCAGACTTTAAAATATTTTTAAAAAAAAATCAACTAAAAACCAAGGATACTTTTTGTCTGAATAAGCTACATTAAAATAGTTTAGGATTCATTCCCAAATAGCTACATTTGAAATTACATACACATTTACAATGTATATGTAATTGTAGCAATTCATAGCTCAAGTTTTTGTTAGAAATTATTAAGTACATATGCTTAATCACTGTGTTATACGTCATATAGAAATCTAACATATGGGGGCTGGAGAGATGGCTCAGTGGTTAAGAGCATTGCCTGCTCTTCCAAAGGTCCTGAGTTCAATTCCCAGCAACCACATGGTGGCTCACAACCATCTGTAATGAGGTATGGCGCCCTCTTCTGGCCTACAGGCATATAAGCAGACAGAATATTGTATACTAAATAAATAAATATTTTTTAAAAAAAATCTAACGTATGGAATGATCCAAAGACTAAAATCATGTCTGTTGTGGTAAAGTGTTGATAATTGATCAGAAAGTAAAATTATAGTAAAGCAGACTAAAGCCTGTATTAAAATCTCTATTCACCCCAAAAAAGTACAAGTGGTAGTGTACTTACTATAGCCCATTAGTTCTCCACCAGGAGCCTCTGCGACGATGAAATACTCTGGCCAGTGGGCAAGGTACTGTAAGTAAAAAGGAATCCCATACTAGACCTGTTAAGGAATATGAGGAGTGATAAGCAGCAAAGGTTCTTCATCACAGGAAAGTGGGGTGGGGTGGGGTGGAGGAGTTCAATTGAAAATATACTATCAGGTACATCTTTAATCAGATACACACATCTTTAATCCCAGTACACTGAAGGCACTGGAATCTCTTGAGTTTTGAGGCCAGCCTGGTGAGTTCCAGGACAGCCACAGAAAAATACTGTCAGGCTAGAGTGGTGGCTTGGTAGATAAAGTGCTTCCTGCATAATCGGCGAGGATTGAAACTCAGATACCATGGCTACCAGTTTATAATCCCAGCACTTAGAATGTGAAAAGAGAGTTAAGAAAAACAGCTGACACCGGGCGGTGGTGGGGCACGCCTTTAATCCCAGCACTCCGGAGGCAGAGGCAGGCGTTCGAGACCAGCCTGGTCTACAGAACTAGTTTGGACAGGCTCCAAAGCCACAGAGAAACCCTGTCTCGAAAAACAAAAAAAGGAATCATTTATGCTCAAAGGAAATGCCCTGCCCAACTGGCCTGGCGTGTGCCTGTAACCCCAGCACAAAAGCAGAAGTATCTCTAGTTCAGGCCAGACTGGGACACAAAGCAAGACCCCTGTCTCGCTGAATGAACAAGGAAATGAATGTTACTCTTCAACCTGGGGTGCCCTGACTGCTACGATTCACTGCTGTTTGTTCCACCTTAGTGCCAGCTCTCTGCTGCAATCACAGAAGATAACACTATTAATACATGTTTACTAAGAGGCTCCCAGAAAACCTCACCAGGGTTAGCCTTCAATTCTCTAGACAGCAGTCATTTCTTAGAGAACTCAGCCAGGCATGCCAGCTGGTCTTCCTGCCCCCTAGCACTTGACACTACAGCCATCTCTCTTCTGCCTGATGGGAGAACCCAGAGACCCCCGCAAATATCCCCACTCCCTACAGAAACACTAGGGCCTATACGCTCAAAGTAAGCTGATTCACAGTCTACAAACTCTACCAATTTCCCTATTTTATTATACAGTAAAAATTTGTAATCACGGTTCTTCAGAAACCAGATAGACCAATAAGTACTCTGAGGCCTTTCTGCCTTTTCTATTCCCCGTTTCTGATGTGGCCTTTGATGCTTGCAATGCATGAGGACACAACTTAAATACCTCATCCCTCTGCCAGGGAACATCTGGGTCACGTCTAATTTCTAAAATAAAAAAAAAAAATAACAAAAAACTTTGTCTTCATGTCTTCATGTCCTTTTCAAAGACAGCTTAATTTATTTACCATTTCCTAACTAGTAAATGTGAATGACGTTCCAAATTTTCAAAATAATTCTCTTAAATTTTTGTGATATCATGTTTTTGTAAAAGTACAATAACATGTGAGATCTTGGGGACTAACAGTCTGTCATATCTACCCAAACTCTGAGAGCCACAGACAGTATGTAAATTAACATGGATGTATCCCAGTAAGAAAATTATTAAGAAATGAGTGGTGAGCCAGATTTGGTGCATGAATCTTATATTTGCCAAACCCCGGAGTAAAGTGCCTGTTACTCCTATTTCAGCCTTCAGGAAGTGGACTTACCGCGTATACTTCTAAAACCTTTTCAGAAAGACTGTGCCAGATGACTGTGGCACTAGCAGTTTCTAAGAACATGCCTCAGCTTCATCAACAGTAGCACTGTTACAGCTTTTTAAACTTCTGGATGATCTGATAGATTAAACTAGATTCTCAAGTGATTTTAGTTTGCATGTGTTTTGACTGGTGAGACTGAACTAAAGTCTTCACTGCTCCTCTGCCCTTGTAAGCTACCAGTTAATTCCCCAATCTACCAGGAGGAGTCAGTGGAACATGGACTGGAAATCCTATTTGTGTTGTAAGCCACTGATCAGAGCAGAGCAGTCAAGAACACCCTAACTCAACACATTTTTGCTCATTTTCTACTGAGATGTTAGAAACTGTTATTACCAAAATCCTTTATCCACTGCAGCAACACGTCAGGAGGAAGACAGCAGGCAGCGACAGAGAAGGGCTGTACAGTGCTTCCCAAAGAGAGTACCTCCCCTGCCGACTGCACAGCCAGAACACAGATAAGAAGATGTGTTCTAGAAGTCATCTAGACCATAAAGACCCAGGTGCTCCTGAGCAGGGCTATTGGAGACATCATGGAGTAGGTGTAGCCTGAGCTACCCGTCCCCTCTTACCGGAAAGGGAGACAGGGCCTGAATCACTGTTCTGTTGCTGCTATGTAAACCAGGTTTACTGTGGATGGCCAAGGTGGGCAGCAGAGCTACAGAATTACTGATTCATATAAAGCATTATAGTAATAGTTTGTAGGCAAGCCTAAGACCACTCTTTTGTAATTGCTTTCAATGTTGCTTAAGCTGTTCAAAACCTATGTGCTTCAACTTTTTCTCAGTACTCATCTGTTTTTCCTTCTTTTCTCCGTTTCTTCTTCGTTAATAATCCTTAGTTTTACTTTTTTTTTTTTCTTAAAAAAGGATACAGTTTCTGTAAGAGGATCCAAGTTACTGAAAGAAACAAGAGATGGCAAGAATTAGAATTCCTGAATTCAATTTAAGTAAGCTTGTGAAAACTAGAAAGATTATGTTAATCAAAACAAAATATGGCCAGGGCGTAGTGACACACACCTTAATCCCAGCACTCATGGGGGGGGGGGGGGGGGCGGGTAGGGACAGGCTGATCTACAGAGAGAGTTCCAGGACTATACAAAGAAACTCTGTCTTGCCGGGCGGTGGTGGCGTACGCCTTTAATCCCAGCACTGGGAGGCAAAGGCAGGCGGAACTCTGAGTTCGAGGCCAGCCTGGTCTACAAAGGGAGTTCCAGGACAGGCTCCAAAGCTACAGAGAAACCCTTCTTGCAAAAAAAAAAAACAAAAAAGAGAGAAAGAGAGAGACAACAAAAAACAATGGGCGGTGGTGACGCACGCCTTTAATCCCAGCACTCGGGAGGCACAGGCAGGCAGATCTCTGTGAGTTCGAGACTAGCCTGGTCTACAGAGCTAGTTCCAGGACAGGCTCCAAAACCACAGAGAAACCCTGTCTCGAAAAAAAAAACAAAGAAAAAAAGAAAAAGAAAACCAACCAAACAAAAAAAATCAAAATGTGTTTCTCCTATATCTCTGAAACCAACCTGAGAACCAAAGAAAATTATTTAAATAACCCAGTGGCTGCATGTGGCACCAATAAAGGGATCTGTACTTTCTCATTTAACTGCTCCTGTACAAGCAGAATTATAGCTAACTCCATCAGACTTCTGCAGGCATGAGGACCAGTTAGGCGTGTGTCCCTATGGACCAATCCAACTAGCCTGCTCCCTACTGCATCACCCCTGCCTATCTCTGGTCCCTTCCCTTACAATTCCCCCATCCTTCTTGATGTGAGTACTCCCCCACCTTCACCTTTCCCTTACTACTATAAAACTCATGGACCCCATGTACTTTCAACTCAATTTCATTGTACCTCCATCCTGCTACCCCACTAACCAAGCCCTCGTGCCATGGGGAACTACCCAGCATGTCACACCATACAACCTCAAATTGAGCGTTCTTGAAAACCATCTCCAACCCTTCACTTCCCTATTCAGTCTTTTGCCAAGCTCAAAACCAGCTATTTTCTTTTTTTTTTTTTTTTTTTTTTTTTTTTTTTTTTTTTTTTTTTT